AATTCCCAGCTACAACGTGGAATGATGTTTATAACAGGTATAGCACGAAGCTGAGGATTGAGGAAGATACTGTTCCACGATTTCAAAAAGAAGAAAAGGTAAGTTCGAGACGTGCAGAGACCAAAAAACGATCCGGTAAAAATAGGTACGAGCCTTACATGGGACCTGCGGGAAAGGACTCACAGTCAAAGTAGGATAATCAAAGGTACGATCATAGATCAAGAAATAGAGAATCAGGTTCTTCATCAAGATTCAGGAACGAGCGAAACATCTATGAGTCACGAGATGATAATAGAAATTTAAAAGCGAGATTCGTGTGGTTACAACTTCAACGCCAGCACCTCCGAGCTCGTAGTNCTAAATTCTAGCTTTGACTAAAATTTTATTTTTTGGTTAAACAAATTGGTTCCGTTACCGGAAAACTGATAATTTATTTTCTTTTCACTTAACTTTCCTTGTTGCATCTATTATGTCGAACAACATTGATAACACTCAAGGAAACCAAGAGAACCAACAAAATCAGGGAGATCCACATAATATTAACACTCAAGTTCCTACTCCACGAGACTCTCCACGACAATCTCGTGAGAGTACTCCTGATGGGTCTCAAATAAATGAGCATGCTCAATTTGAAAATGTTGAAGCTGTTGATAAAGCTTTGCAGAAATTAATTGTTGCTCAGGTCAACAAAGCTGTTGAGGCACTTGTTAACCAGTTACATGTTGCAACATCCACACCTACTCCAAATAATAACACTTTGGAAAACCCTTGTTCCGAGCTAGTTAACTCAGGCAGCGGTGGAACTCCCAGTGAATCACAGGAGAGAGAACCAGGTAATGTAATTAATTCTGATTTACAAAATTTAGTACTAACCTGGCAGAAATAGCTCAAGGAGCAAAGTGAGCGCATAGAGCAGATACCCGGGGTGCCACCCATAATCAAAGGGGTAGATATGGATAGATATTCGCAACAACCCTGGAAGCCAAGTGTTGCTCCACTCCCAATTCCAAAAAAGCTCAAAATGCCTGATATTCCAAAATATGATGGAACAACATACCCACGAGATCATATGACTGCATTCACAACGGGCGTAAAAGGCAACGATTTGACTAAGCAGGAGATTGAATCAGTATTAGTCAAAATATTTGGTGAAACAAAGGAGCGCTAACATGGTATTCTCTTTTACCCAAAAATTCTATAAATTCTTTTGCTGAGCTTGCAGATTCTTTCATCAAAGCACACTCGGGAGCTCAAAAGTAGGAAAAGAATGGAGGATATTTTCAAAATCAAGCAAGGGGACTCAGAACTGCTTAGAGAATTCGTGGACAGATTTCAACATGAAAGAATGACATTTCCACGTGTACCTGACAACTGGGCAGTTATAGCTTTCACAAGTAATTTGAATGAAAAAAGCTCGGAAGCTACGAGGAGACTCAAGGAAAGCCTTCGAGAATTCCCAGCTACAACGTGGAATGATGTTTATAACAGGTATAGCACGAAGCTGAGGATTGAGGAAGATACTGTTCCACGATTTCAAAAAGAAGAAAAGGTAAGTTCGAGACGTGCAGAGACCAAAAAACGATCCGGTAAAAATAGGTACGAGCCTTACATGGGACCTGCGGGAAAGGACTCACAGTCAAAGTAGGATAATCAAAGGTACGATCATAGATCAAGAAATAGAGAATCAGGTTCTTCATCAAGATTCAGGAACGAGCGAAACATCTATGAGTCACGAGATGATAATAGAAATTTAAAAGCGAGATTCGTGTGGTTACAACTTCAACGCCAGCACCTCCGAGCTCGTAGTTGTTTTGAGAAGCATGGGAGATAAGGTTCGATGGCCAAAGGAAATGAGATCGAATCCAAACAGGCGCAACCCTGACCATTGGTGCGAGTTTCATAATGACTACGGACATAAAACAGCAGATTGCAGATTTTTACAAAGTGAAGTTGATCATTTATTAAAACAAGGATATCTTACTGAGTTGTTCAGTGAGAAAGGCAAGCAAGCTTACATGAAGAACAGGTAGGAGCCTCCAAAATCACCTTCTCCCAAAAGAATTGTCAACGTTATAAGTGGGGGTGAAGATGTCAATGGTATATCATATACTGCAGCTAACAAAATTTCCAAAGTAACAATTACCTAAAGGAAATGGGTGCGGCATGTTTTAGAGGAAGACAACATAACATTCAATGACACAGATGCAGATGGCGTATTAACCCCTCATAACGACGCACTGGTATTATCTTTAATTGTATATGATACTAATGTGAAATGAGTTTTGATTGATCCAGGTAGTTCCGTGAACATTATTTTGCTAAGAGTATTACATGAGATGCAAGCTGAAGATAAAGTGATACCAAAGGCGCATACTCTATCTGGATTGAAGATAAAGTGATACCAAAGGCGCATACTCTATCTGGATTTGATAATTCTAGTGTCCTCACGAAAGGAGAGGTAACACTCACTACATTCGCTGAAGGAGTCGTCAAAGATAAAAAGTTCCAGGTGGTAGATATGGAGATGGCTTACAACATGATTCTTGGGAGATCATGGATCCATGAAATGGATGTTGTTCCTTCAACCTTACATCAAGTTATTAAATTTCCATCACCATAGGGAATCTGTCAAATTCGTGGAGATCAACATACAGCTAGGGCTATCAACTCTGTTGCAGATACAAGCACAAGAAATGAAGGTAAATAGCAATCACAGAAGGCAGTTGAGGACACCACAACACAAACCTTAACTGAACAAGGGCAAACAGATGTAGACTCAAGGCCTGATACCATTCAAGAACCAGAAGAGAATGAAAATATCAAAACAACAATAGAGGAATTAGAGTCTGTCGTGCTATTTGCTCAATGGCCTGATAAAAAAGTCTATGTTGGAGCCAATCTTAGCCAAGGTATGAGAAGTAAGTTAATTGGATTTTTGAAAACTAACGTAGATTGCTTTTCTTGGTCCCACTCTGACATGACAGGAATACCACCGGAGGTGATGACTCATAAAATAAATGAAGATCCATCATACCCTCCTGTCAAGCAAAAGAAAAGAAAGCAAGGAACTTTCAAGAATCAGGTGATTCAAGAAGAAGTCCAAAAATTGCTAAAAATTGGTTCCATTCGTGAGGTAAAGTATCCTAAATGGTTAGCTAACAATGTTGTAGTCCCAAAGAAGAACGGTAAGTGGCGGGTTTGTGTAGATTATACAGATCTTAATAAAGCCTGCCCTAAAGATTCTTTTCCACTACCACACATAGATCAATTGATTGATGCAACTGCAGGTCACGAACTATTAAGTTTTTTAGATGCATATTCAGGTTATAATCAGATTAAAATGGATCCGGGAGATGAAGAAAAAACTTCATTCATAACAGACAGGGGGACTTACTGTTATAAAGTAATGCCCTTTGGTCTAAAGAATGCAGGTGCAACGTATCAGAGGTTAGTTACCAAAATGTTTCAAGAGCATTTAGGAAAGACTATGGAGGTATATATAGATGATATGCTTGTTAAAACTCAGTATTCAAAAGATCACATATCACACTTATCTGACACATTTTCAATTTTGCGCAAATTTAATATGAAGTTAAATCCCGAAAAATGTGCATTTGGCGTTGCATCAGGCAAGTTTTTGGGTTTTCTTGTTTCTAACCGTGGTATTGAAGTAAATCCTGCACAGATCAAGGCCATTGAGGAAATCCCTGATATACTTCCAAACAAGAAAGAAGTTCAAAGATTAACAGGGAGAATTGCAGCCTTGGGAAGATTCATTTCTAAATCATCAGAGAAGTGTTTTAAATTCTTCTCAGCCCTTAAGAAGCAGGATCATTTTGAATGGAATGAGGAATGTCAACAGGCACTCAGGAATTTGAAAACGTACTTATCAAATCCACCTTTGCTGGCAAAACCAAAGGTTGGGGAAAGACTACTCATTTACCTTGTTGTTTCGGAAGTTGCGGTAAGCGCTATTTTGGTCCGAGAAGAACAAGGTAAACAATCCCATATCTATTATGTTAGTAAATCTTTGTTAGATGCGGAGACGCGGTATCCTCAGTTAGAAAAACTTGCACTTGCATTAATCATGGCATCTAGAAAGTTAAGACCTTACTTTCAGTGTCATCCTATCGCTGTAGTAACTGCCTACCCTTTACGTAATATATTACATAAGCATGAGTTATCAGGTAGGTTAGCTAAGTGGGCAATAGAGTTAAGTGAATACGAAATCACATACCAACCTAGAACTGCTATAAAATCACAAGTGTTAGCTGATTTCGTGGCTGATTTTAGCCAGGGGATGCAATTAGAAGCAGAAAAAGAATTACAGGTATTCAATGGAGCTAACCCGGGAACTTGGACTTTATTCACTGATGGCTCATCTAATGTAAAAGGTGCAGGTTTAGGGATTGTCTTGGTACCACCTACGGGTGAAACCATTCGACAAGCTATTAAATGTCACTCCATAACTAACAATGAAGCGGAGTATGAGGCTGTGATTGCAGGTCTAGAATTGGCACGAGAGCTTGGCATAAATCAGATTATAATCAAGAGTGATTCGCAACTCGTGGTTAATCAAATGCTGGGGACTTATACAGCTAGGGAAGCAAGGATGCAACAATACTTAGAAAAGGTACGGGAATTGATAAAGCAATTTCAAACCTGGAAAGTTATACAAATACCAAGGGATGAAAATGTTGAAGCGGACGCCCTAGCTAATCTCGCATCTGCAGCTGATGTGGCAAGCGATGCAAACGCCTCAGTTATACATTTATTTCATTCAGTTCTCGATCCTGATAAGAATGAGGTAAATTTTAATAATTTAACTTGGGATTGGAGGAACGAGATTGTTGCTTTTTTGCAGTATGGTACCGTCCCTGATGATAAGAAAAAAGCTCATGCGCTTCGAAAGAAGGCTGCTCGGTACTGCTTAAAGCAAGGCAATTTATATCGTAAAATGTTCGGTGGTCCCTTAGCAAGATGCCTCGGACCTTCGCAAACGGAGTATGTAATGAAAGAAATACACGAGGGACATTGCGGGAATCACGCAGGAGGAAGGTCATTGGTAAGAACCTTAATTAGGGCAGGTTATTACTGGCCTAAAATGGAAGAAGAAGCAGAAAGTTTCGTGGCCAAATGTGATAAATGTCAAAGGTACGGTAACAATATGCATAGACCTGCGGAGTTATTACATCCGGTCATTGCGCCATGGCCATTTATGAAATGGGGAATGGATATCGTGGGTCCATTACCACAAGCAAAAGGACAGGTAAAGTTTCTGCTCGTACTCACTGATTATTTTACTAAATGGGTGGAGGCAGGAGCATTTAAACAGGTGCGAGAAAAGGAAGTCAAAGATTTTATTTGGCGGAATATCATATGCCGATTCGGTGTACCAAAGGAGATCGTGTGTGATAATGGCCCTCAATTTATTGGAGCTCAAATCACGGAATTCTTTCAAAGTTGGCAAATTAAAAGGATTACGTCAACACCTTATCATCCGGTGGGTAATGGGCAAGCAGAATCAACGAACAAGGTTATTATCAATAATTTAAAGAAACGATTAGAGGAATCAAAAGGTAACTGGCCTGAAGTGTTACCTGGAGTTTTATGGGCATATCGCACAACTGCAAAAACAAGTACAGGAGAAACACCGTTTTCATTGGTTTATGGAGCTGAGGCTTTAATTCCAGTTGAGATAGGGGAACCAAGTACACGGTTCACACAGGCGACACAAGAATCTAATGACGAGGAGATGCGGGTCAATCTAGATTTACTCGAGGGGAGGAGAGAAGCTGCATTAATAAGAATGGCAGCACAAAAGCAAGTCATAGAACGATATTACAACCGAAAAGCACGCCTCAGATTCTTCAAAGTGGGGGACTTCGTGCTTAAAAAGGTTTTTCAATCTACAAAGGCAGCTAACGCGGGTAAATTAAGTCCAACATGGGAAGGACCCTATAGAGTTCGTGATATTGCAGGAAAGGGAGCATATGAACTGGAGACAATGGATGGCAAGATACTACCTTCACATTGGAATGTTGTTCATTTGAAGAGATACTATTTCTAAGGAATACCCACGGTCAGGTATCACCATTTTAAATTTAATTTTTGAATTGTTAAAATTTTACTAACGATTTTAGATGATAGGCAAAAAGCTAACCCGTACTAAATGATGAGTCACGACCTGTAAGGCACACGGAATAACCTAAAATTCCTGGCCTAGGGTTACAATTATTCTGATAGAAATTCATACGGGTTAAGCAGTCTTCATCTATAATCGCACCTCCGAGTCCCGTATGTTTTTCCTTTTCAGGAAAAGGACCAAATGAGAGAAACTATCAAGTGCTCGAGGCTTCATACTTCAACACTCAAACACTTGGGGGACTACATAATATACACAGACATGTGTATAAAGAAGGCAAAGAAGATTAAGGAAAAATCAAGCCTAAAAGAGTCAAGTGCAGAGTAAAAGTCACAAAGTCACGAGATGGAGCCACGAGCTAAGGCCAAAGAAAAACCTCACTATAGTTAGGGTAAAGGCTATGTACTAAAACGGGTTATAAGGAAAAACCCCGTGTCTATTATTCTTCTTTTGTAAAAATCTGTTACAAGAAAAACAGTTACGAGAAAGTTATAGATGTAATTCAAATACATGTAAAGTATTATTCAAAACTTGTCAAAGTTATTTCAAAGAAACATGTGTGTTCCTATTTCTTTTATCGTATGATAACACCATTATGAAGTTGAGACGTCTTCTTCATTAAGTGTCGAAATATAAAAGGGCCCTCTTTTATAAAACTCATGTTTAAATTAGTTAGTCATGAGATTAACAGAAGCATTTTCGAAGAACAAAAATGCAAATTATTCTATAAGTCCTTAAAAATAAAGGCAAGAATAAAGCAGACAGAAGTTTAAGATAATAACATGAAAAACTTCTTAATACTTAAAAACTGAAGACTAAGTACGAACTTAGTCATAAAACTATGAAATTGTTTATACAAATTGCCCCATAAAAAACTTGGGGACTTGCGTTTCCAAAACCAACCCTCAAATGAAGCTAAGGGTTTGATTACAATTTTCCAAAATAAAAACAAAAACAAAATCATTCAAATGATTAAAACTGGTCACTGAGAAGTTTGTGGAACTGAAGTAGGAGCATCAATAGCAACGGGCTCAATTTGGGCAGGTGCATCAACAGATGCGGTTTCAACTTGGTTTGCAGCAACAGGCTCGATTGGGCTTGAAAGAGTTGGGATACCCGTATCAGCTTCAACATCACGGGAGCATCAACCACAAGAGAAGGAAAGTCCTGAGTTTGCTGAACTTTTTCAATGGTTTCATTGATCTTAGCTAACTCCAACTCCAGGTTGAAGTTTTCTTGGCCAGCTTCAATTAGGGTATCACGACGTGAATTCAAAAATACCCAACTTACCTTAACAATAGATTTTTCTTCAAGGATCTCATAATCCTTTTCCCAATCAGTAATCTCATTCTTTAGCTCTTCATTTTCAGCCAAGGCGGAGTTATAAAAAGCTTGAAGAGAGTCATGGGAGATCTCTAAGGCACGCACCGTATTAGCAGAGACTCGAAGGTCTTCTTGTGCTTGAGTTAAGCTTTGCACGAGCTCCCTAGCGTAAACTTCTTTTTGACTCAAAAGAGCCTTCAACTCTCTAGTCTCTTCACTGGCCTTAGATAGTTGCTCTG